CCCCTGCTTCCCGGCACCCCGGGCCTGCTCCTCGGCCCCCGCCCCGAGACCTGGTCCCCTGCTTCCCGGCTCCCCAGGCCAGCTCCCCCCCCGCCCCGAGCCCTGCTTCCCTGCTCCCCAGCCAGCTGGCTCCTGCTTCGCTGCCTCCTTCCCTGCCCCTAGAGGGGAGAGTCCCGGCCCCCTGCGGCGCAGGATTAGGAAGAAGCGTGTTCCCACAGAGGAGGCCTGGAACCCAAGTGTCCTGGCCAAATATCTGCTCTGCAGTTTTCACGCTTGCTCCTCGTACCCACCCACCCCCAGTGCACCCGAGGGGATCTGGACTTCCCCTTCACTTCCTGTCCCAAACTGTGAGGGTGCTGGGACGCTGCGAGTCAGCGCAAGGGGCTCCCATGTACCCAGCCCCCCCGCCTCAGGGGGGCTGTGTGTCCAGCCCCCTCCACCCCGGCGAGGGCTCCTGGCCATCTCCGTGTCGCCCCCTAGCTGCGGCTGGACGAGACGCAGGAGGCCGAGTACCAGGTGCTGCGGATGCAGCTGCAGCAGGAGCTGGAACTGCTCAACGCCTACCAGAGCAAGATCAAGATCCACACGGAGGCGCAGCACGAGCGGGAGATCAAGGAGCTGGAGCAGCGCGTGTCCATCCGCCGGGCCCTGTTGGAGCAGAGGGTACGGCCCCGGGTGGGACCCAGGCGTCCGGGACGGCTCCCCTCAGGGCCCCGCAGCGTCCCTAGAGACCGCGCTGGGCAGTGGGACCCAGGCATCCGGGACGGCTCCCTTAGGATACTCCCTACTTTGTCACAGGAGGGACTGGATTTCTAGGTTTCCGGATAGGTGGGGCAGACAGGCTGTGGGACGGGCCATGGCAGACCCAGGCATCTGGGCAGGTGCCGGGGAGGGGCCGGCGGGAGCCCGGTGTCTGGGCGGTGCCAGTGGGGCTGGCGGGACCCGGGTGGTGCCGAGGAGGGGCTGGCGGGACCCGGGAGTGGCTGGGGAGGGCCTGGCGGGACCCCAGCGTCCGGGCAGTGTCAGGGAGAGGCCGGCGGGACTCCAGGCGGTGCCGGGGAGGGGCCAGCGGGACCCAAAGTCCGGGCGGGGCCCGGGAGGGGCCGGCGGGGCCCGGGAGGGGCCGGCACTGCCACTGCCACTGCCACGCCCTGTCTCTGCAGATCGAGGAGGAGATGCTAGCGCTGCAGAACGAGCGCTCGGAGCGGATCCGCAGCCTGCTGGAACGGCAGGCCCGGGAGATCGAGGCCTTCGACTCGGAGAGCATGCGGCTCGGCTTCAGCAACATGGCGCTGACGGGCATCCCCGCCGAGGCCTTCAGCCAGGGCTACGCCGCGCCCCCCCAGCCCTGGCCCTCCCGCCCTGTGCCCCGCAGCGGCTCCCACTGGAGCCACGGCGTGCAGAACACCGCCGGCGCCCCCCACGCCTGGCGCCAGCCGCCCCTGCTGGCCCCGCCCCCTTCCGCCTGGCTCCACCCCCCCTCCGCCGCCGCCTCCTCGCCCGCCTCTGCCCCGGGGGCCGGGCCAACGTGGTCATGCTGCGGAACAGCCCTCAGCCGCTGCGGCGCACAGCCTCCGGTGGCCAGGCTGAGCCGGGCATCAGCCGCTCAGCCAGCGTCACCTCGCACATCCTCAACGGCTCGCACTACTCCTACTCCTGAGCCGGCCCCCCGCTCGGCTCGGCCTGCCATGGGGCCCGCACCCTGCGAGCCGCCCTCAACCCCCAGCACTGCCCGGGCTGCGGGGAAAGGCTGCCCCGAGCTCTCTCCTCGGGCCCCATGGAGAGACGCTCCCCACCGGCATTCCTGCGGGTCCCTGACCTGGGAGGGGGCCAGCCCGGCGCCCATGTCTGCTCCCCTGTCCACGCTGACACCCCCAAATCCACACAGGAACATGCCGGTCCTCTTCCCAGCCCCTCATCCCCCCCCACACACACACTTGGGACCATTTGATCTTTGTTTTCAAATCTTGTTTTTTTCCTAATTTCCTTCCCCCTTCCTGTCACTGGGGGCTGGGAGCCTGGACGCCTGGGTTCTCTCCCTGGCTCTGGGAGGGCAGTGGGGGGCTGGCAGCTTAGCACGGGGGGGCTGGGAGTCAGAACTCCTGGGTTCTCTCCCCGGCTCTGGGAGGGCAGTGGGGGGGCTGGCAGCTTAGCACGGGGGGGCTGGGAGTCAGAACTCCTGGGTTCTCTCCCCAGCTCTGGGAGGGTAGTGGGGGCTGGTGGGTTAGAGCAGGGGGACTGGGAGCCCGGACTCCTGGGTTCTCTCCCCAGCTCTGGGAGGGGAGTGTGGTCTAGTGGGTTAGAGCAGGGGGGCTGGGAACCCGTACTCCTGCGTTCTCTCTCCCTATCCCATAGGTGACAGGGTATCTTTCCGTATCTTCCTCCCCGCAGGAGCCCTGCGGTACCTGGTATGAGCAAGCCCCCAGGTTTGGGATCAGGGTACCCAGTGGGGGGGCTGTGCCTGGGAGGGCTCAGTTTCCCCCGCCAATCACTCAGTTCCCCCAGCCCCCCTCCTCCGTTCCATGCCCATGTTCCCCCTTCTCTGGGAGCATCTCTCCAAAGGACAGCAGAGGAGTCTGCCACTGGGAATGGGCTGCCCCTCTCCTGGACTGCAGTGACATGGGGGGACCTGAAACTGCTTTTTCTATTCCCTTGGGGTAGGGGATTCTTGACACTACCTTTTTGTGGTTATGGGGCAGCCTCGAAACACCTCCCCCATGGAAGTGGGGTGTGTTGATGCAGCGTTTCTGTCAGGCTGAGGGGGACTGGACACTTTTCCCCCAGCACAGAAAGGAAAAACTTGAAAACGCTGTCCAGGGGGAGCAGGGTCCATGTTGATCCGCTTTTCCCATGCGGGGAGAGAAGCATGAAATCCATTTTCCCAGGATGGCGGCAAATCTTCATACAATTTTCCCAGCATGGGAGAGTTTGCAACACATCACCCTGTGTGGCGGGGAGACTTGAAACCACTTTCCTCTGGCAGGATGGAGAAACTTGAAACCCTCTTTCCATGGTGTGAGAACCTTAAAACATTATTTACTGTCCTAAAGTTGGAAATCTTGACCCAATTATTCTCCTGCGGGCTATTTTCCTTTGGGGGGGGGCGGATGGGAAAGTCTCAAAACAACTATTTGCCTGGAAGCAGGAGGGGTGGGGGAGGCAATCTTTAAGCACCATTTTCCCTCCTAAGGTGGCGAATCTTGCTGAGTGGTTTCTGTGGTTTGCGGGTCAAGGAGACAGGAAAGATTTTCTCCTTCATGCCACAGGGGAAGCCTTGACACAGACTTTTTCCACACTCATGCAATAAGAGGAACCTTAAAACATATTTTTCTGCTCTTGTGCCATGGTGAAGGGAACTCAAACTGGATTGTGTCCTGTCACGAACTGGGGGAGAAGATGGTTGGTGTGCCATGGGGAGGAGACTTGAAACAGATTTTTCCTCTCACACCATGGAAAGGAAACTTGAAACAGATTTTCCTGCCCAAACGCCAATGCCTGGGTCCTCCACAGCGTGAATTTCTGCACATTTTTTTTTAATTATTATTTAAGAAACACTCATCCAGGACTTCGATGGAACAACAACCCTGATTCCTCCATTTCTTAATTGATTTTCTAAATAACCACCTTGCCCAACCCCTAACGAGGCTGCTTTTGAAAAGGGGTCTGGGGGGGACGAACTAATCGCTTTGTTCTGCTAACTAGCCACGTGGCTTGCCTGTGGGAGCTAGGGGCAGAGGGTCTGGGGCTGATGTATAATATATATCTCCTCTTCTTTTTAATGATCTTTTCCTTTCGGTGCCATAACCCTACCTTGTACAGCTCCCTGATCCCGCGATCTCTCCTGTCTTTCATCCCCCCTGTGTGGGTGGTGCGTGCGTGTGTGTATCTCATATTTTCTTTTTATATATATATATATAAGAGGGAAAATAAGAAAAAAAATATAAATCTGTGTCCTGATGGAATGTATTAAAATAAAACAAAACAAAAAAAACCACTTTTTAAAAAAATGCCAAGGCAGGTGGCGAGGAAGAAAGGCAAAGGGGGCCGGCGCCGGGTCGGGCGCTGCCCGCACGGAGAGAAGGGGAACAAAAATTTTAATAAAAATGTTGGATATTATTAAAAAACAAAGGCGGCTCGGCTGGATTTTTCTACATCATTGGAGTGGGACTCTGGAGTTCTCTCCTGGCTCTGGGAGGGGAGTGGGGGCTGGTGATTAGAGCAGGAGGGGCTGGGAGCCAGGACTCCTGGGTTCGCTCTCGGAGGGGAGTGGGGGCTGGTGGGTCAGAGCAGGAGGGGCTGGGAGCTAGGACTCCTGGGTTCTCTCCCATCTCTGGGAGGGGAGTGGGAGCTGGTGGTTAGAGCAGGGGGTGGGAGCCTGGACTCCTGGGTTCTCAGATCAGGGACAGCGAAGGCAGGGGGCTAGCAGCCCCCGGCATCACACGAGCCCGTGTGTGAGCCATAGAGGTGGCTATGTCAGTTCCAGCCCGGGGCGGGGGTGGGGTGGGGTGGGGTGTGCGGCTTTTGACACGGGTGAGCGTGGAGTTAAACCCAGCAGAGGGGCCTGGGGTGTCTGCCCAGCTCAGGGTACGAATCCCGGCTCCCCACAGTGCGCCCCACCCCAGAGACAGCTGCATCTCGGCACCAGGCAAGGGGCCCCTGCGTGCCCAGCCCCCGCACCCAGAGGGACCCCCTACAAACAGCCCTGGCGCCCCACCCTGCATAAACAGCTGCATCTTGCATCTCATGTTAATTAGTTGATTATAGTTAGATAAATTAATTAATAATGAAGAAGGCGGCGGCCGGGAATCCCGTGACCCCGCCCGCAGCCTGTCCCAGCAGCTGCAATGACTGGAGCCCCGTCTCCTAGCAACCAGCCTCTAGGCTCTCCCCCGCCCCACACAGTTGCCATAGCAACAGCCTCCCCTGGCAGTTGGGTACCAGCTTGTGCAGCATCCCAGGAGGGGGTGCGTGGGGGGAGGGGCGGATCCAGATCCGATCCTGCTGGGGTCCTACCCCCCACGGGGTCCCCCACCCCAGACCCTGCGCCCCCAGAGCCCCCTT